GATCTATCTGCGTACTCAAAATTTTTCTAAAAACTCAAATTAAACAGGTCAAGATTTAAACGAGAATTCGTTGAATTTTTCTATGTTCTGTGTAAAGTTTGAAAGTTTGACTCATGTAGTTTTAATTAAAGCATGAACCACATTTTTATAAAAAGATAATAAAAAAAAAAAATTGAAAAACATTGCAAATATTAAGCAAAAAACACCATGCACTCACTTTTGATTGCCGGTGTATGTATGCATGTACATATGTGTGTAAACTTTATGCCAAACTATCATTATTTTAAATTGTATTTGCATCTTCATAAAAGGAGAACAAGATAAAAAATTTAACAAAAATTACAAATTAATGAAAATTATGTGAAGATTTACCATATTTTCGTTTATTTGCTCACAAAGAACATCACATTTCATGTTGCTCAACATTGTATTATGTTATCAACATTAAATTCAACAGAATTTTTACATTCCGACTTGAACTTTTCTAANTTTCTCTATCTATCTAAATTCTCTGTCGTGATCAGGTAGCATGAATTTAATGAAATGCAATTTTATTAAAAGTCAAATGGTTAACAACAACAACGAACAACATTAAATGAAACTACCTTCTTTTTTGTATCATGGTTATTTGATCTACTGACATCACCTGGACATCACCTGTATATAATTCTACCACGATTTTCATATGGTACTTTGCAACACTCTGTTTTATGCTCATACTGTTCCGCTGACATTTCCACAAAACAGAAATGTCAATAGACTTGTGCAAAACAGCTGTAATTTGTATACGTTTTTTGTATCTAGTGAACATTTGATAAATTTTAGCAAAAGGGAAACTGGCATTTATTAAGATGTTGGGTATACAAAATTATGGCTCTTCATCAGACACCGATTCAGAAACAGATGAACGCACCAAGAATGATCTGGAAACGCCAAACAATACAGATAAGTTAGCACATCTTAAGCCAATAGATCCCTCGCTGTCGATTGCCAAATCGCTGGCCGTTTGCGCAGCACCTGAAGTGATTCCCATAGGTGCCAGTGCTGTTGCGCGTACCATTGATCCCACAGTTAAAGAAGTGACGTACAATCCAAAATTTGAGGAATTGTACGCGCCCGTTAAAGGTCCAGAAAATCCAAATTTAACACAACAAATGCGTGCGCCTCGCAACACACTCTCAGGTTATGTGGAAAAGGCTCATATTAATGCCTTTGAATTTGAAAATCAACGACGCACATTCCACACATATGGTTATGCGCTGGATCCGTCCGTAGATGAAGCTGCAGATGGACAATCATTCGTAGGTGATTTACAATCAGCTTATAGTGACGAAGGCAAAACGGTGTTTGAATCGCCAAAACCGAAAAAGAAACGTAAGCAAGATAAAAACGATAACCCGGAAGATGTTGAAGGTTTTGTTGGACCATGGGGCAAGTATGAAGATGAGCAAAGTGTGGCACGACCAAATGAACAAGAAAAGGCGGAATTAGAGGAGATTTTAGCGAAGAGACACAGACGCAACCGTATTGTTGAAGACAAGCCATTAGAGGAAAAATGCGTGTTGCACAGTAAGTTTTCGAAAAATACACCATTTCTTTTTGTATTAATATTTATTTATCCCTTATTTATTTGCAGTCAAAGATGCATACGATTACCAAGGCCGTTCGTACCTACATGCGCCACACGATTTGGGAATCAACTTGCGCTCAACTTCTGCACCTAATAAATGCTTCTTACCGAAAGCACACATACACACATGGACAGGACACACCAAAGGTATTTCATCTATACGTTGGTTTCCACAAACAGCGCATTTGCTGCTATCTGGTTCCATGGATTGTCGTGTGAAACTTTGGGAAGTGTTTGGCGAACGGCGATGTATACGCACATTTTCCGGTCATAGGCAAGCTATCAAAGATATTGCATGGAATAACAAAGGCACTAAATTTCTCTCCGCTTCCTATGATCGTTATATAAAAATGTGGGATGCAGAAACCGGAGAAGTTATTTCACGTTTTACAGCGCGAAAAATGCCGTTCTGTGTCAAATTCCATCCGGATAATAATAAGCAACATCTCTTCGTAGCAGGCACTTCAGACAAGAAAATTATTTGCGTAAGTACATGTTACTTAATCTTAGCGAAAGTACTTTTACTATATCGTCACTATTTTTGATTTTTAATTCAATATCTTGCACAGTGGGACACGCGCAGCGGCGATATTGTACAAGAATATGATCGCCATTTGGGTGCCGTTAACACAATCACATTCGTTGATGAGAACCGACGTTTCGTCACTACCTCTGATGACAAATCAATGCGAATTTGGGAATGGGACATACCAGTGGATATGAAATACATAGCCGATCCCACAATGCATTCGATGCCGGCTGTAACGCTTGCGCCAAATGGCAAATGGTTGGCATGCCAGTCACTAGATAATAAAATCGTTATATTTTCTGCGTTAAACCGTTTCAAAATGAATCGGAAAAAGACTTTCAGCGGACATATGGTTTCCGGTTATGCATGTCAATTGGATTTCTCGCCAGATATGAGTTACTTAGTAAGCGGTGATGGTGATGGAAAATGTTATATTTGGGATTGGAAAACGACAAAAATGTACAAAAAATGGCAAGCCCACGAGGGTGTCTGTATCAGTACCATGTGGCATCCGCATGAAGCGAGCAAAGTAGTAACAGCTGGATGGGATGGTCTTATCAAATACTGGGATTAGGTGAGATGTTTTACGGATACGTACATTTCCAAGGAAAGAGCCTTAAATACCTCCTAATCACTAGTATTGAAATAGTTTTATGTCAAAGTAATAAATATTTAAAATGATAAAAGAAACTTGTTGACACTTAGTATGTATGTTTGTATGTAATTCAAATAAGTAAATGTAAAAAACTTACTAACTGCTCTTTAAGTGAAATAATATAGATACATTACGTTCAGGCAAAGGAATCCAAACTCAGTGGCTTTACAAAAAAAAATGTATAAATTACCCAAATGATGCATAATAACATTGTTACATAGGATTGATGGCATTTTTTTAAAGAGTAGATATAAGAGTATATTCCATGGAATTATTTTACTGTTGTATGCATTCTTACTCAAGGTTGTTGTAACAATATTTTGCCCTCAAACCGTGTGATGTTTAGTATGTGCTGAGACGATGGTCCCGCCCGGTATTTTTTCACTGTACACACACACATATATATGTATATGTTTTTTAATTTGTTTACAAACAAATATTCCTCGGAAAAGACATGTGCTTAGATTCCATGCAGCACCGCTGATAACAGCGGAGGCTGCGCACTGTGCCCACAACTGTCAAATATTATATGGTAAACGACACCCCAATTGCTATACTAAACAGGCAATCGTCCACCATATGTGTATAGTCTACAAAGTGAAAATAATCGATTTTAACCGCCGCTAAGATTTTCCATGAAAGTTATTGAAAATTTTTACAAAAACCATATCTCATATTAATCGTTGCTAATTTAAAGTGGCTCCGCGACTAATTTCGGCTAATTTTTATATAAATTTCTTTCTGAAGACCGGAATTGGTAAAATCTGCAAAATGTAGCTAGAAATCGTCGCTGGAGCTTTCGATTAAGTCACATACAATTTTCAAGTGAAAGTGAAAATGAAGTAAATAAACACTGTGCTTATCTAAACATCTCGCCCACTTAGAAATTTTTGAAAATATAAAATTCAATCGAGTTTTACTGCAAATCGCTTAGATACCTAAACAAAAACCTTTCTCATTACCCTTACCCCCATCATCGTAAATTAGAATACCATTGGCAAAGCGCACTCAACACCACGAGTCCAAAAAAAAGTCAAGGCAATATCGGTCATTACAATCACAACTGCCAACAGCACCAAGAACCACATCTTGACCTTCACTATCACCGTCCTACATCGGCCAACACTTACACGAACACCATCCAAAAAGAAAATCTTACATTGCTATCGCTACTGTTCTAGATAGAAATAGTTATCCAAACAGCACCTACGTCTGTCTATAAGCGCTGCCACAATGTCCAAACCACCCACAGACACATCGGGTCTGGGTTATTCATATCATCTGCCATCTGGTGGTTTACTCTTACGTCTCAAGAATTCCCTCTCACAATTTAGCGATTTATTCAGTGAGTTCAACAGATATATTGCACCGGCCTACCATCATGACCGGTGCGAACGTTCGGTGCATATGCGCCTCTATTCGATGCAGAAACGTGAATTCGTTATGGTATTTTTGGGATTTCTCATCTGTTTCGGTTTGGCCATTGTAATTGGTCTCACCGGACCTCCTATTACTAGCACATCAGAGATCACAACCAAGAGTATATTGGCGAATACTTCGCTTGCTAACAGTAATACAGTGCTAGCTACTGGGCCATTTGCGATGAAGTCACCACTGATGACCACATACTCTCAACAACTGTGGCTGATTGCCAAATTGGTAACAGACAACAATGATGGTAAGTAGAGAGGCGATATGGTAAATCGACTTGACCTAATATTTTTTGTATTTTCTTCCGATTTTAGATGAAAAGTATGATAAAAGTTTTCAAGTGAGCGTCGCCATAGATGGAATTACCGAACAACATAAACCACTGAGTATTCTAATCGCAGATTTGGTGCGTAATCGTACGCGTCACTTATCTTGCATACGGAACGATTGTGAGGAGTTTACAATTCTGCATTTGGGTTTTCTAGAATATGCACACTATATCATCACTGTACGCTTCTATGGGTTGGGGACATTCCACCAGAAGTACAATATACGGAGTATAACCTTTTACGTAAGTCTTGGAAGATAGATCTTTTTTTGTTTTCATCTACTACATTTTTATTATAACGGGTTTGAAATTGTTTTTATAATTCGTTATTCTCTCTATTTGTTTTTATAGTTCA